CTTGTGGAAGGTGCCTCGTGGACTGGCCTCCGCTGTAGGACGAGGAGGAGGAGGACGAGGAACGGCGTCGGCGGACGCCCTGGTGGCGCCTGGACCCGCCGACGCCCGCCTGGCAGGGGACAGAAGGCGAGGGAGAGGATTGGCTGCCCCTCCCATCCTCCTCCTCCTCCTCCTCCTCCTCCTCCTCTCCTCCTCCTCCTCCTCTCCTCCTCCTCTTCCTCCTCCTCCTCCATCTCCCCCCTTCTCCTCCTCCTCCTCCTCCTCCTCCTCCTCCTCCTCTTCCTCCTCCTCCTCCTCCTCCTCCTCCTCCTCTCCTTGCTCCCCCTCTTTCCATTCAAAATCCCACTCGATGAGGGGGGGGGGATCCCCGCGGAATGGACTCCCGCGGGGGGGATCCGTGGCGGGGGGAGGGTTGGCTAGGCTCACGAAGGCACGTCTGGGGCCCCAGATGGCACCGAGATGGACCCAAAGAGCCCAAGATGGCTTCCAAGATGGCACAAGATAACCCAAGCTCAAGGCGGCATCCAACATGCGTCCAAGAGTCCAAGAGGCCCGTACGAAACATCCCAAGGCTATCCCGAGAATCCAAGATCTTTCAACGACATCGGTTCCAATGATTTGCGCATTCTGCCCTTTTCGTTTCTGGCGCACTTCTGAGGCCTCAAGACGGTTCCAAGATCGCCAATCAAATTCCCAGGGGGCCCAGAAGCACTCCAAGACTGCCCCGAAGACCCCTGAGAGCGCCCCAAGAGCGCCCAATGAGGGCCCAAGCGGCTTCTTTGTTTGTTTGTTTTTTTCTGGAGGGGGAAGATGAGAGCGGCCAGCAATGATGCACGCCACTAGCCTTGCCAGACGCGCCGCCCTCAATCCTCTTGCCCACGACACCCTCATCACATCTCCCTCTCCGGCCACAGCGCTGCAGTGCTCACGGGAACAAGACACTGTCGTCCGAATCGTCGTCGAATATTGTCTTCTCCCGCCTCCCCGAGTCCTCCTGGCTCACCGTTGGAAGCTGCATGAGCTGGAGTATCGCATTCATGTAGCGCCTGGAGGCCACCATGCTCGGATGGGTTCCATCCTTCATCCACAAAGACGGAACGAACCCGCGCTCTTCGATAAGCTCGTTCATGATCCTGTAATAGTCCACCACCTCGTACAAGCCGTAGAGCTTGCCATTTTGCATCTGCTTATCCACTTCGTGCTTCATCCAATCCATCGCCTTAACAGACACCACCGCGACGTCCGGATAGCTTACAGTCGTGGACTTGTGAAACTCATCCTTGAGAATTACCTCAAGAAACACTGAATGGTGAACACGAGGCGCATTTCTGAAGACGATGCGGCTTTGAGGGAACGTCTCGGACACACGAGCCATAAGATGTTTCAAATCACGGCGACCCCACTGGTGCAGACGCTCTTTCGTCACGTTCTTGACGCCCCACGAAGCCCAGGTGAAAAGATCCCAGAGGGAGCTTTCTACCACAATCATGTCTGGGAACTCCTCTCCCTTCATGTTCATGATGCCCATGATCGCTTTGCGCAGTTCCTGGCTACTGGACACGTCGCTATGTTCTACAATGGGATAGGTGTGGTTCCAGAAAGGCGGCTGGAAATCACCATGAATGCCCACTCCAGGGTGAGCGGCATAGCCCACGGCGAGATCCCGTTCCTCGTTTACGCAATTCAATCTGTAAAATTTCTTACCGTCGGTTTCACAGAAATCCGCCACTGCGTACCTGTCCACAGAAGATCCCAGAAAGAAGACCGAGTGGGCTGAACGACGCTGCGTCGCAAGCCCGCTCGCCACGGCAGCGCAGGCCGCCAAGCAGCCCGCGCGGATCATCGTGGCAAGATGCATCGATTGACGCTATGCGTATGAGATGGTGGCAGGAACGCTGTATGTATTGGAAATTCGGGTACTTGTGTAGAAAAGTCGGAACCGAAAACTGCTTGAGCCAAACTGTATACGAATTTTGGGCCAACGTCTTGAGTCATGTTCGAGGCCCGCGAGCACTTTGTATTGTTGTTTTCGACAGGGACGGCGGGGGTGTCAGCATATTCCCTGATGTTCGCAGGGCTACCTTTCCTGACAACAAAACGGTACAACGTGCACTTCGCGGCGAAATCTGGATCATGCGCGGCCGTCCCGCGATCACTGTCAAGTGGTTGTTGACAAGGACGGCGAGGGTGGTGGCGCGTGGCCTGCTGTGCGCAGGCCCTCCAGACACAGTGATGGGCACTGGCTTTCGACAAGGATGGCGGGGGCCGACATGTTTCCCGAAGTGTGCTGTCACGTGCGCAGGCGACGCACTCTGCACGTGCCCCGAACGTGGCGCACTTGGCGCGACTGGAGTGTGTGGCACACCTGGCGCACTCGGAGCACGTGGCGTATCTGGCGTACCAGGCGTGCCTGGCACGCTCGGGCCCCAGGGGTGCCTGGCGCGCGTGGCGCCCCTGGCACGCGAGGCGCACCTCGCCCAAACATCGCGCACCCGGGGTCGGCTTTGGTCCCCAGTAGCTGTCCATCCAAAGACGAACGCTGAGCGTGCTCAGGTTCGGGTGTTTTTCCCAACCATCCTGTGGTGTTGGGTCCTCGTTTTGAAGAGACAGCGCCCCGCGTTCACTCCTCCCGCTGCCCCCTCCCTCCTGCATCATCATCATCATCATCATCATCATCATCATCATCATCATCATCATCATCATCATCATCATCATCATCATCATCATCATCATCATCATCATCATCATCATCATCCATCATCAATCATCATCATCATCATCATCATCATCACATCAATCATCACATCATCATCATCATCATCATCATCATCATCAGCATCATCAGATCAATCATCATCATCATCCATCATCATCATCATCATCATCATCATCCATCGCAACAAGCATCCTCATTCCACACGACCTCCCATCAGCAGCGGCACACCCCTCACACGTTTCGTGGCCCATAGGGAGCTCCACCGAAGGCCCCAGTGCGCTCCCACGCTCCCATGCACCGCACCCATTTCGGCACACCCCTCACACGTTTCGTGGCCCCATAGGGAGCTCCAGCGAAGGCCCCCGTGGCTGCGCTCCCATGCGCCCACCGCACAGATTTCGGCACACCCCTCACACGTTTCGTGGCCCCATAGGGAGCTCCACCGAAGGCCCCAGTGGCTGCGCTCCCATGCGCCCACCGCGCCCATTTCGGCACACCCCTCACACGTTTCGTGGCCCCATAGGGAGCTCCAGCGAAGGCCCCAGTGGCTGCGCTCCCATGCGCCCACCGCCAGATTTCGGCACACCCCTCACACGCTTCGTGGCCCCATAGGGAGCTCCACCGAAGGCCCCAGTGGCTGCGCTCCCATGCGCCCACCGCACCCATTTCTGCACACCCCTCACACGCTTCGTGGCCCCATAGGGAGCTCCAGCGAAGGCCCCAGTGGCTGCGCTCCCATGCGCCCACCGCACCCATTTCGGCACACACACCCCTCACACGTTTCGTGGCCCATAGGGAGCTCCACCGAATGGTCCCATGGGGAGCTCCAGCGAAGGCCCCAGTGGCTGCGCTCCCATGCGCCCACCGCACCCATTTCGGCACACCCCTCACACGTTTCGTGGCCCCATAGGGAGCTCCAGCGAAGGCCCCAGTGGCTGCGCTCCCATGCGCCCACCGCACCCATTTCGGCACACCCCTCACACGTTTCGTGGCCCCATAGGGAGCTCCAGCGAAGGCCCCAGTGGCTGCGCTCCCATGCGCCCACCGCACCCATTTCGGCACACCCCTCACACGCTTCGTGGTCCCATAGGGAGCTCCAGCGAAGGCCCCAGTGGCTGCGCTCCCATGCGCCCACCGCACAGATTTCGGCACACCCCTCACACGCTTCGTGGCCCCATAGGGAGCTCCACCGAAGGCCCCAGTGGCAGGGTTCCGCATGCCTCCCCACCACCCATTTCGGCACACCCCTCACACGTTTCGTGGCCCCATAGGGAGCTCCACCGAAGGCCCCAGTGGCTGCGTTCGCATGCCTCCCCACCACCCATTTCGGCACACCCCTCACACGTTTCGTGGCCCCATAGGGAGCTCCACCGAAGGCCCCAGTGGTTGCGCTCCCATGCGCCCACCGCGCCCATTTCGGCACACCCCTCATGCGTTTCGTGGCCCCATAGGGAGCTCCGGCGAAGGCCCCAGTGGCCTGGTTCGTATGCCTCCCCAACACCCATTTCGGCACACCCCTCATACGTTTCGTGGCCCCATGGGGATTTCCATTGAAGGCCCAAGTGGCTGGGTCCGCATGCGCCACCACATCAATTTCGGCACACCCCTCACACGCTTCGTGGCACCATAGGGAGCTCCACCGAAGGCCCCAGTGGCAGGGTCCGCATGCCGCCCCCGCACCAATTTCGGCACACCCCTCACACGTTTCTTGGCCCCACAGGGAGCTCCACCGAAGGCCCCAGTGGCTGCGTCCGCATGCCGCCCCCGCACCAACTTCGGTGCACCCCTCACACGTTTCGTGGCCCCATAAGGAGCTCCACCGAAGGCCCCAGTGGCAACGTTCGCATGCCGCCCCCACACCCATTTCGGCACACCCCTCACACGTTTCGTGGCCCCATAGGGAGATCCACCGAAGACGGTACTCACACCAGCATTACTCACAACTACATATGGTTGGGTCCTTCGCCAGGCTAATTTTATGTGTTGGGAGGGCGGGTGGGAGTGAGCTAGACGGCTTGCGGGCGAGTGGGTAGCTCGACCACTCCCCCTACCCCCCCCCCCTAGGACTGCTGGGAAGGGGGCGGGGGGGCGAGGCCTCAGAGCTCCCAAGCTCGCCCAAGATGGCTCCAAGAGGGCCTCAGACCCCACGATGGCCTCCAAGATGAATCAAGATACCTCAAAATGGCCCAAAATAGCCGCCGACGCTCATTCAAAAGGCATCAAGACGGCCCCCAAATGGTTTCAAGTGCCCCCCGAGCCCTTCAAGGACCCCCCCCCAAGAGGCCAAAATGGCTCTAGAATCTAAGGAACAGGCCTCAAAACGGCCCCAAGATGGCCCCCAAGGGAGCCAGAACAGGGCCCGCGAGGGCTCCAAGACGGCCCCAAGAGCGCCCAAGAGCGCCCCAAGAAAGGCTCCAGAAGGCCTCAATACGACGTGTTTGAGCCTCCGAAAGGGGGGGCCTGAATCTGTTACCCCCCTCTTGTTGAGCATCGGGAACCAATATGGCCCCAAGAGGACCCCATAGACCTCCCAAAAGAGCCCCAACAGGGCCCGAAGAGCGCCCCAAGTGGCTCCGCGAGGACGCCCAGAGAGACCCAACATGGCTTCAAGAGACCTCCGAGAAAACACTTGGCGGTTGTTGTACTGCATGCTTCAAAGGCAACCCGCCTGGTGATATATTTCTGGATGGGCTGGTTGGGATACTTTTTCGGTCGCGGCCGCGAGCGAAGAGGCAGGCGGCGGGCAGGGTGTGCGGGCCAACGGGCAAGCCTAATTAGCTACAGGAGGCGCACTAGCCGGCCGGCCCGCTCACAAAGCAGCCGCGAGGCAGCGGGGGGACTGACGGCGGGGGGCATCCTGGGAAGCTCGAGCACATGCACAAGACAAAATGTGGAAGAATTCGATGCCTGCCACGAGGCACGGCCCACACAGTGACAAGTCGTGTACCTGAGCAAACGAGTCCGTCGTACTGAATGTGGGCAGGCGCGAGGCCCGAGGAGCGAGTCGCTGGTGGAGCGCCAGGCTCCAAACGCCCTAGACGGCGTGTGCTAGCCCGGGGGGCCGAGCTGTCGCGGAACGTGGTGCAACGCAACCTGCCGATAGGTGGTGGGTGAGCCTGGAGTGCTGCAGCTGCTGCGAAGGGCTGAACCACTCCGAGGCGATTGAACACGCGCCAGTCCACCCAGCAGTGCAGGGGGGAAGCCGAACGACTGCAAGCCAAGCAGCGTGAGCGGCGCGGCGCCAGGCCCAGGGTGAGGGGAGAAGGCCAGCCGGCGGGGTGAGCATCGCCAGCGAGGTAGAGGAATGTAATTATGGGGGGTGCTGTACTGGTGGTAGTGTTGCCGCCTGAAGTACGCCAAACAGAACCAGGGACCGGCAAATCTGGCTGTACCTCCCGGGGCACGTGTGGCGCATGTACAAGCAAGTGTGCAACGTTGCCATTGGGTGAAGCGACCCGGGGGAAGCTGCGCTGAAGCAGGCGCATGAACCGACGGTCACCATGGCCCGACCCTGCCAGCAGCTGCCGCACTTCTTCGCAAGACTCGGGGTCGTCCACCAACACGCACCACGTGGGCCTCCAGGGTCGCTTCTAACCGCCGCTGAAGGTTGGGAGCCTTGCCCCGGACAGCGAAGGACAAGGGCGGCCCTGGGGAGGGGGGCAACACCACCGGCGTCTGTCGGCACGCCTGGCGAGCCCCGGAGCCAAGGGCGGGGGGCACCCGCCTGGCCCGAGAGGGGAGAGGCGAGGGGAAGCACCGCCCCGCCCCTCGACCGGGCCCCGGACCCGTGGGTCAGGGGACATGGCCATTCTCGTGGGTCCTCCAGGGTCGCAGCTAACCGCCGCTCAAGAGCAACTCGTATCGACTGATGGGCCCTTCGAACGGTGTTGATGCCGTGGGACGGTGGGATCCAGAGTGGACCTCATGCCCTGCTGAATGCTGGTCTGCCAACGTGGAGACTGGCGCCTCTACGGGGATGGTGGGTGTTGGTCCTCCAGGGTCGCAGCTAACCGCCGCAAGAGTCAGTAGATGACAAAAAGGTGACCTGGCTAGGTCGAGCTCGCCAGGCAGGCAGGCGGGTGGGGGATGCTGTGGCCCACCTCCGGCCCCTGGCGCGCGGGCCAGCTGTCGTCGTCGGACAGCAAAGTCCACGAGCCCGGGAGGCCAGCCTGCGCGAGCCAGGCTGCCCCCACCGTGCCAGAGAGGGTGGGGTGTCGGGTGCTGGAGGGGAAGCCCCTCCGCGTCAGGCCCGAAAAAGAAGATGGCGGTCCACCTTTCCAGCGTGGGCTGTCTAGCTAGGCCGCGCCGTGGGTGAGACGCGGGGTTAGC